AATTACTTATCTTCATTGGGCTATTAGGATTAGGAGATTATTTGCCTATACATTTTTCCAATTATCAATTCACTACAATTAGATTATTCGATACAAGTTTTTTTTTTTTTTTAACTTTCTTCTTCTAAGAAATCTAATTCCACTTCGCACCAACAAGTTTTTTCATGGATAACATTGAAATAATATTTGGCTCAAAACTTCCTATGTGTCCCAAAAGTGATTGTATAGGTATCTATTTAATTATTGATAAGGAAGGAAGAATGGAATAATTTGTAAGGCACTGGATTGGAGCGGTTTGATGAAATGTTGAAGTGTCACAGGAATTTTAAAAGGTCAATTCTACACAATGGGTGATTATAGCAAATACGTATTATGGTTTAAATCGTTAGGCAATTAAAGGACAAAATGCCCTTAAGATGAATATATCAGAAATGAGATTGTTAAGATGGAATTGTAGGTATAATAAAATAGATAAGAAATGGAAATATACACAAACAAGTGGAGATGGCGTTTATTGAGGATACACTAAAGGTATTATATTTAGGTGGTATAGTAACGCAAGTCATAAAAGGCTCCCACTCATAAGAGTAATGAAATCTCGATAGAACAAGTCATAAGAGGAAAGGCTTGACCAAAATCTAATGTGCTATTTTGCAATCGTAAAGGATAGTTGCTTAGGATCTAACAATGAAGGCATGGGATGAGGAAAATGATTCATGTAGCCGACCTAAATTTACTAGGAACAAAGCTTAACTCCTAGTATGTTTTCGAAAACTTTCCTAGAGTAGCTTAATAATAATATCTTGATGCCATCTAACATTACACACGTGTTAGAGAAAATGGTAGCTTTGAGCCTAACTAAAACTATGTGACCCTGACTATCTATTATGAACCTAGTAAGTGTTGTTTAAACTTCTCCATGGAAACACAAACGCATGGATGTGCCATGCCATTCTACGTAATATAGTACACTAATAGATATCTCATAGTTGTTATATAGCAATCACTTAAACACTCTATAAATAAGTAATTATGATCTTGGACTTCAAATTTACCGTTTAACCTTTAAAGTGATTTGAAATATCACCTGTGTACGTCCTGCATCAGCGACAACAAACGTTGGAAGGCCGATGTCCTCGGCTGCATCCTTTAGCTTATTCCTGATAAAATAACCATGTTATTGTAATTCATGCACGAGAATACAGAGAAGATTCTGGTACGAAGGACAAGTATATTTAAGTCAACCAAAAACATTTAGGATAGATCACCTCCTTACATTTCTTGCTGATTCTTGCATGTAACAACTATTTTGGCCTGGCCACAAAGCTCCCATTGCCTCAAAAGGGACCTATGGCTGCATCAGGTGTTACTTCTCATATACTCACCAAATAATAATGCAATTCCAAAGAAATCATAAAATAGATGTTAAATAGACCATGTTCGGGTAAGCTGAAAAGATTAATTATAAGTAAATATGCTAATAAATGACTTATTTTATTGGCCACGTTGGAAACAAGTGAGCTTAGCAGAACATGCTCTAAATCAGTATAGTGCCCAATATCACTTTGGCCAAGTTGGAAACAAAAAGTACCTTAAAAGTAACCTTTTTATTTCTTGAGCTTAGCCGAACATGCTCTAAATCAGTATAGTGCCCAATCCTAGTGGCACAATCATAAAGATTTTAATCGGCATTTGAAGGAAGTGAGATGAAGGGTGTTCTATTTATCCTTGCAAGTGATCAAAAGCTGAAAAATTGATACATGGAAACTTAAGGAAAGTAGAACTTATCATTGCTATTTAGTGCTTGTTTGGATATAATTATAATTTGTAAGTTGATGAAATTATAATATGATAGAAACGAGTAATGGATAATGGTCAATATTTGTGGGTCCTACGAAATGTGCGCATTAAAAGTAATGTTTGACTTTTGATCATTAAATTATAAGTAACTTATAATGTTGCACTTAGTTTCTCCAAGAAAATGATCGTATCTGCAGAGAAAAATCAATGTTATCAATGTGGGTTAATTGCTTAAAAGCATAATTCTAGATTCCCCGTTGGCTTACCACATAAGAAGAAACTTACATTCTCCACTTTAACGACTTCAATTAATTGATTGAAACAAAAGAGGTATATATCAGATCAGGACAAGAACTGGGGTGAAGGGGAGTAGTGTTGAGAGGATCTGAGCTTTTTTCTTTTTCTCCCAGGAGAGACAAATACCATCTACTGAATGGTATATTGGAGAAAATTTCAATTTCTTTTTCTACTTTAGTACTTTCTAATCCACTTTACAAAACATATCATATAGGTAAACAGAAGGAGTAAATAATTTGGACGGTGGTTCCAATAGAATTTTCAGCTATCTAAAGAAAGGTAGCAAACTATAATCAGGTTAAGTCATTAAGAATGTACCTTTGCATAAGTTCAGAATATATGCCGGTGGCAGCATCTGCATAGTTTTTAATCAAACAATAATCAAACGGCCAATTAGCCAGGAAACATCAAAATATACACGATCAATTTGGAAATCTTAACAATAAATAAATATTGGAGACTCTTACGAGCACATTGAGATGCAATCTTCCCCGCTCCCATCTTCAGGTCCTGCCTAACTACTAAAACCTGCCAACAAATTTCCTAAGTTCGGTCGGCAAACTTGTCAACAATAAATAGATCATCCGATCTTAAACTTTCTGTCCTTCGCTGCCAGTCTTAAACTTTCGACTTTCCTATTTTGTGTTATTAATTGCTATCAGTAATACGGATTGTTTGTTTAATCCATTACATAATTTCCCTCATTACCATACTGCTCACACCATATAGAATATTTCCATAAACTACAATATCAAGAACGCAATTCTTTTGGAAAAGAAAACATATCTTTAGCTTCATTATTAGGAGTCTTTTTCAACTACTCCTATTGAAGAATATCGCTTTGGCCAACTAAATATTATCCAAAATTTAAAAAATCAAAGCTGAAAACTACCAATAAACAAAACATGTATAACTTGAATGCACATTGCATAAGAAATGCTACATGATAAACAAACAAAAGAAATTCAAAGTCCAAGACTTCAGTTAGAGCAAGTTTTTGTTGTGTTTTAAGTTACTTAGTTTGCCAAACATAATTTTAAAAAATTACAACTTTTCTACCAAAAGCAACTTTTAAGCTAAGCCAAACACAATAGTAGACAGACCATTTTCAGTTCTTCATCAGTATTACTAGAAACAATTCTTGGTGACTGTTGATTTTGTCCCAGCATCTGCCCGCTGATTTTCTTAGCATTGTATCCTTTTCCAGGCTTCGATAAGTCCAGGAAAAGCCCACAAATGAAGCCAATTATGAGGCCCGGAATGAAGTTTTCCGGCTTGAAACTCACTCCTAACCATCCTTCTTCATGTTTCTGCTGCAGTTTTTTTTTTTTTTTTTCCAATTCAAGTAAATAACTTAATAAAATTAAATATTATAAAATAAAATAAAAGGAATAAGGAGGGTTTTTGGGTACCTTCTTTGTGGGTTGAGAACGGTCTCTAAATGAACCCAACATTTGAGAAGATAGTAAATTGCCATAGTTGCAGAAAGATTAAATACAAGAAGATGAACACGTCGTCGTTTTGTTCTGTTTTAACAGATGCAGCTCAATGGGCTTTAGATTGGTTATTTGGGTACTATGATAGGCCCTAGACCCACTCAATTAGATTTCTTTGGAAAAGTAGTGCGAAGCCCAATATAGAAAATAAGAAAAACTTTCTAAAAAGTCGCACTAATGTCCGTAATTTTGTTTCCTTTTTTGCCCCATTGGCATCTGACCTTCTATTAATAATAAATAAGTAAAAGAACATAGAACAGTTATTTGCCCCTCATTTTTACGTAAATAAAAAAAAGTGCAATAGATTATTTTTCCTTTGTTTCAAAGCACCCAATACAAAATTTGAACATAAACGATCATCAAACACCACTACGGGTGGACATGGGCGTGGATCGTTTGAGCCTAACTCGAAATCAAAACCAACCTAACCCGTTTTGAAAACTTAACCAACACAAATCAATTAGAATTTCATGGTAATTTCTAAATTGAAAAACTTGAAAGGGTTTACCAAATTTCCTTTTTACAAGTTTGAAGGAATGTGAATTAGTAGAATTATGAGAGTACGAGCATCTTTGACTGCAATTAAGTGACTATGGGAAACACATCAAATTTGATGGGATTTTCGGCTTCTTTATTTTTATTGACCGGTGAAACTCTATAATTTAATTTCGTTATTTTCTTTAGAGTAATGTTATTCATCACCATTGATGTCAAGCAGCAGTTTAAGGGTCAATTGCCAAACACGAGAAAAAAAAACTTAAGTTTTGCCAAACATTTTAGTTCGAGATACATATACATACATTGTGATGGTTAAAAAACCATTATTTACTAGACACTAGTAATCGCAAATTTAAATGAGATGCATTTGAAACACCAGGAATTATTCTGAACGTTTATTGAGTAGTTCCGGTAGCACTTGGTTGAGGCTCTCTCGAATCATTTCCTCAATCCTTCTCTTCATCAGCTTGTCTTTTACAGCACGAAGCATGTTTCGATGAAACATCTCCAGACGAACCAGTTTTCTACTATCTGATGACTCCAACATATTCTCCCATTCTTTTGCAATGTCAAATGAACCCGAGTTCTTGAGTGAGGACGGAATATCATGTTCTTGGAAAGGCCTACCGTAGATCGAACCATGCAGTATACTAGCGTATTTTTCTGTTATGGAAAGTTTCGACTCAAGGAGCTTCATCTCCTCCATTGCCATAGATAATCTTTTATCCATTTCTTTGGGATTGTCTTCTTCAGTCTTCTTTTTCTGGACCCCTTCTGATTCATCGTCCCTGAAATCATCCGAGAGCGGTGGCCACGATACTAGAGTTGGTGCATAACAATCGACTGTCTTACCGTTTCCGAGGACCCCACTACGTCCCCTGCCCCAAGACCATAGTTTAAGTCCACCATCTGCTACAAGAACAGTGTGAGCTGCACCACATGCAACTTCCAAAGTTGAAGGAAATTTTGAATCGTGGGTGTCGGTACAAGGAAACAGTAAAGGAGAAATAGCATCCCCGGCACCATCCCTAGTAAAAGTAGCATCGGGGCATAGACCGAGGCCCTTCTCCATCCCCCAAGACCACACTTCTCCAGCTGATGAGACAACGCTTGTGTGAAATAAGCCACAGTCGACTGATATTAGGAATATGCTCTGTGGCAGTCCTTTTACAGGTTCTGGAGACGAAAAATTTTTGGTAGTTCCATGGCCAAGCTGCCCTCTATCCCCTAAGCCAAACGTCCAACAGAAACTTTCTAAAGTGTCACTCGGTCTCTTTTTCTTAGCAAGTATTGCCGTGTGGGAAGCACCACATGCTATCTCGTATACCTCCCAAGGAGACTGTGAGTTAAACGTTTCTATGACTTCGGGTTGTAATCGGCTTTCATTGTCTCCCAAACCTAACTGGCCATAGTTGTTGCCACCCCACGAGTAGCATATAAGATCACCACCTTTGTAAGTTTCTTCAGCGCTCACTAATGCCACGACATGCTCGTTTCCACATGCCACCTTAACAACAGTGTGACCATGAAAATTCCAAATTGGGATTGGAGAAGAACTGCTAACAAGAGAAAATTTCTCTTCTGAGGACTTGCTTTGCTCATAATTTGGACAATTGCCCCACATCCATAAACCCCTGAGATTGTCGATTGCCAGTGACATCATTCCTCCAGCTTTGACAGAAGAAATCTAAATATGAAAATCAAGCAATTCCAAAGTTATTTGAGATAAAATTAAATAGATGTATTTTGTTCCATCATGGTCATTGAAGTCTGTCTATTTTGATGCCAAATCAAATCTCCGTCTTCTAAGTTGGACAATCCATTAGAAAACAAACATGTTTTAATTGAGTGACCAAACTGAAACAAAGAGCTATCTTAAGTGACCACGGTAGAACAAAATAAAATCCAGCGACTAACACAACTTTATCATAAGCTGAGTTACTAAAAGTGTTTCAAACCCAATTCAGCTCATACCTTCACCGCCTTCCCGCTCTTCAATTCTTTACCTTGCATTGAGGTATCAGGAGACCCCAATTCAAGGAAACCCTCTAATGTACACGGCACCAAAGAATTTTCTCCATTAACACCAATTTGGCCATCCGTGTAAGGATCAAGGAATACTTGTATCTTAGAGAAGTTTGCGAAACAATTGAAACTATACATCTGGATACTGGATAAAGTGTATTAAAGCATAAACAGGATTTATCAAAAGGATACAGACATTATAACCCCAGCCCCAAACAGATCCGTCATCTGCAACAAAAGGAAATAAGCAATACGGAAGATGATGTAGAATTTTGCCTAAAGAAGAAACATATTTTCTATTTACAGTGTGTCGTGTAGCTATTGACGCTCTATAAGTATGATACATTTAAAGCCTACAATGGCATCGAGTATATGATTTTGGATGGAGTGGTTCGATATAGAATTAGTTTCGGGAAAAAACAAGTTGAAATCTCGCTACCATCTATTTATGAAAATTGTTCTCATGTCGAGCGTGCACATGAGAAGATGTTGAAAACTAAATTTAAACAAATAAATTAATCTTTCTCATCATCTTATCTATTTACAAGTTCAAAAGTCACAAATCATTATAACCTGCAATGGCTAGACTGTGATAAGCTCCAGCAGCAATTCCAACAATCTTGAGCTTCTCTTCTTTTTCATCATCAGAACCAAAAAATTTTACCCTGGTCGGGAAAAGCTGATCGGCTTCTGAACCAGTGCCGAGCCGGCCAAAGGTTCCTCTCCCCCAAGAATACACTCTCCCATCACCTATACATGAAGAAAAATGATACATGAAAACCCCACTTAATTTAAAGCATCTTAATTTCTATTGAATAACAACTTCACAAGCAAATTGATCCCCAACTTTCGAAAAAGGAACACGTTGCACATTCAGTTCCCAATTTTACAATTTTCGGCATTAAGACTGTTAGTGCAGCTATAGTGAAAGGTTGAGCAAGTTCCGGTGGTGAAATTTTCCCAATCTAAATTAAATAACTGAAAGGGTTTGGAAAAAAAGAAGGCAGGTGGTGGGAAGATAAGTTAATAGTTACCAGTAAGAGCGAGAGTATGCGCTTCTCCAGCTGCAATTGATATGACTTTGCGAGACAGGTTGCGGGTTTCCACGGCATTCTCCATTTTTCCCTGCCGGTGAATGAGTTTCCGGTTTCAGTTCCGGCGAGTGCGTGCGAGGGTGTTAGAGATTTGGGTTTATCCGATGCTGAAGTTGGAAATTTTCTTGAAAAGGCCTTGAGCCTTTTGTTTGTTTGTGTGTTGAAATGAAATTGGCGAAATTTACAGGTCATTCGGTTAAAACGCAACACGTCTCCATTGTGTCATCACTCTTCGATATGTAAATTGTTTCTATCTTTTCAATTTTGACTTTTGCAAGTCTCATATCGATTTTTTTTTTTTCACAAAATATCTTTATCTTGCATTTTTTCTATTAAAACCTTGTAAATTAATGAATTTACTCACATATTTTAATAAACAAAAAAATATAATAATAATAATTATTAAAAAATGTAAACGAGTCTCGCTTGAAACAATTAAAAACATTCCAACCAATCTTTTTTCCACCACCACCACCACCACCCAAACTTCTTATTTTCTTCCATCTACGCATTCACCACACAATTAAAATGTGCTCGTCATTTTCTCTCACCCGCCCTAGCCCCCCATCCCGCCCCACGACTATCACCGTTACAAACTGCAACCACCGCCACGCCACGCCACGCCACGCTACAATCACCGTCCAATAAAAATGACTCGTTCTCAAATTAAACTCAAATCTCTCATATTTTTCCCTGATTTTGCACCCAATTGGGTTCGGACAAGCCCTTCCAAAATCCCCCTTCACCTCTTTGGCCACATTCATTTTCTCAGTATTTTGCCTACAATTTTCAGGATTTTGTACATTTGTACAGTCAAATATAAGTAGTTTCCGTTTCTTTTTAATTAATTTATCTTAAAATATTTGTTTAAGAAGGTTTCTTTTTTAGTTACAATCTTAAAAAAAAAAAAAATATTGATCAATCAAAGTTCTAATATTTAAGTTCCAAACTCTTTCGTCTCAATTAAATGGTTCACAAACTTAATTTAAGTTTACATATTAAGTTGATTTGTCGAGTTATCTCTACGACGTGGAGTTATCTTTTCATACAACTAAACAATTACAGTAAGCAAATTGCATCAATTATGTTGCATTCTTGTGACTCGGCTTTGATCGGATGAAATTGATGCAAATTAAAGTAAGAAATGGATTTTTTTTTTTTAAAAAAAAAATTGAAATGATGAAGTTTTGAGCATTCTTCTAGCTATCGGGCCACTTTAGATAAAGATAACATTTTGTAGGCCTTTGTACAGATATTAGATTTATGTCCCAAGTTACAAATCACTATAATAATCTAAACCCAACGTGGCAGCAATGTTATCTTTATTCTTGATGGTGACTAATACGGTTGTCAATTTGTAATTGTAATTGGCAAAAGTTTCAAAGTAATTCCGTCCTTTTTGAATTGATAAGCAGACCCGACCTTTTGGATAGAACGGCAATAAAAAAAGAAAGTAGATAATAGAAGGTAAAAATTATTATTATTTTTTATTAAAAAAAAAAAACCACTAGAGGCAGGGGCGGACTCAGGATTATTCTCCAGTGGAGGCGAGAATTAATGACAAAAAAATAATGTTAAAACAATAAAGATAATATTCAAAATATAATTCTTTTTTACAATTGTTCCTTACGATTTCTCATACTTTGAAAACGTCGTATAATACTCTCGTTAGTAATGTCATTAAATACATCTTTTTCAACGTACACAACTAAACTATCATTCATCCATTGGTCTCCAATCTGATTACGCAGTCGATTCTTCACAATATTCATAGCAGAAAATACTCTTTCAACTGTAGC